TTTTCCTTGAGTGTCACCATTAATGACATATTCATGTATGCTACACCCTGTGCAAAGGTTTTGATGCTTTGTCCACCAATCCACTAATACCATCACTTCACTTAATTACCCTCAATTAAGACACTATAAAAGAATTGCAAAGAATTGCTAATGAACTAATTTGGAGACGTGGAAACATTCAAAAGCAGATCCTGGATTGAGAGCAATTAACCCCAGGCATTTTAGATAAGCCACTTCAATCCTTTAGCTCCTTTCTTTATAGAGAAAACGTGAGCTTAAAACACACACATAGAAAACACCTTCCTTGCTCAAAGACGGACAAATACATCTGTTGCAAAAGTAACTAATTTTTACTTTTATATAAAGGTAAATTAGCATATTAAAGGTTTTTTCTGTAAGATCTCACTTCCATTCTCAGATAAAATCTTTTTATAATAAAAGTTACTTTATTTATTTATACTGCGACCAAAGTGGAAATGATTTAATCGTATTTGTGCTGAAACAAACACACAATGAAGACATTCCAGAAAACTCTTCAGCTCCATTAAATCGTCCATTTTTACCTGCAAAGCCAACGACTCTTATTACATGAATGGAACTGGATCAATAGTATAATTCACTCCTCATAATCACCACCACATACAGTAAAGCGCATGTTAGTTACAAAGAGCTGCATCATAATGTTGATGCCGAAAAACAAAAGAAAAATGAAAACGGCTGCTTCCATGTCACAAGCTTAAATAGGTGGAGTTTGTCAAACGTTTCGGTTTCTAACACTTCAGGTGAGTTTAGTGTGAAACAAAAAAATGAAGTCGATACCGGCCGGGAGGTGCAGGACGTCTGTGGCGCCGTTTCTCTTCTACACATCTGGGATCCAAAGCAGAAAATCGACGTTCCTCCACGTAAATCCAACCGAATCCCTTTGGAAAGAGCAGAAGAGAAGAACGAATGAGAGAAAACCCAGAGTGACAGAGAGGCTGTAGCTGATCACAGGTTTTATAAAATACTGTTATTTCTTGTTATGAGATATTGTTGACCCGTTACAATCCAAGATGATCAGATTTCAGACCTGCAGAGGTCACTTTCATTCAACTCAAAACAAATCTTCCACTTTTTTATATTTCAGCTGATCAATCAGTGGAAACTAGTCCTTTAAAACACAGTATAAATACTGAGACTTTATAAATAATTGTGATGTACAAATTACAGGAGCTCAAGGTTTCTGTATCTCATGCTTTTTTTTTTTACAAAGGGTTTTCAATCCCTTTTCTTTGACTTTGGAAATAGGTTTTCCATGTTTAGTAACACTTAATTTATATTATTCAATGTTATTTTAAATATAGAAATATTTTTATCACACTAGGCTGGTGCTCATGGGGGCCCCCTGGTGGTCTGAGGGCCCTAAGAAACTCACAGTGCCTCAGGTTGGTCCGAGGTCTAAAACAATCGGATCAAATGAGTCGTTCTCCTCCTCGGCCTGTAATCAAGTTCTACAGACTCCATCTAAATTATTAGACACAGCAGAATAGCATCTAAAAAGGGAGAAGGAAACCCCTCCTCCAGACGTTTTCCAACAGATTTCTCTGCTGCAAGACGAGACGCAACCACAGAAAGCTGACCAGGAAACCAATCAGCTGGATGCAGGAACTGAACGCTGGGTAGAGCCGAGGCGCTCTGTGCAACCCGTCAAAAGACTTGATGAGACAAACAGCAGAAGTCATAACAAGCTGTACTGACACGGTTCGGCTGAAGAGGAATACCCGCAAATCGAGAAATTCCACCGTCGTCTGTTATTTGAACAGACTGCTGGTTAGAAATATGGTACGGTGGTGTGAGAAAGCACTCAGAGCCGGTTTCACTGTGACCGTGTGCTTCGCCCTGTTTGAAGGAACCATGAATTTCTCTCTTTGTGGGACAAACACGAAGAACCTGCAGCAGGAAAACGATCCGATGGAAGACCCCCTCTGTTTGTCAAACTCAACCAATGAGGCTGAACTAAAACTATAATGGAAAATGGAGTTGTTTAAATCAATCAGTATTGTGAATATTTGATTAAAATTGTTGCCACTAAGATTGGAAAAAAAAAAAAAAAACAGTTTAGGGGGTTTTCTATATTTGGGATCATTAAAACTGTAAACTGTATTCAGACATAAATTAGATTTTATTAACTGAAACATTTAGGTTTGACATAAAACCACAAAAGAAATCTGTAAGAAGGTAAATATTTTACTATTAAAAAGTGCTAAAGTGTGTTTTACACCATATTTGGTTTAAATGTGACACTTTTCCATAGGAACTGATGCAGTTTCTTCTTTTCACAAGATGGTTTGCTTGTGTTTTTACCCAGTTAGAGACAATAATGTCTAACATTTCAAGCTAAAACTAGCACTTCTGTGTTATTTAGCCAAAGCAGCATCACCCTGTTAGTTGAAACAAAAACTAAAGAGGAAAGAAGTAACCCTGTCAAAGAGGGGCTAAAAGTCATCTCATGCTAGTTACAAATGACATTTCAAATGCATATACAGTCATGTATTACAAATTTGAGTAATGTGCAATAGTGGGCTAAATTAGTTCTGGTGCTGAAAGGGAAAACGGGGGGGAAAAAATGCAACGGAGAAGGTTTTTAGGATTCCTGGGCGTGCCTGGGGTGTCGGGTCGTGATGAAGTGGAGCTTTTCCCATGCTAATGGGCCTGCCAAACACAAACATCCAAAAGCTCAGCAAATCTTAGACAAGCAGGAGACAAGTCACCGTACTTCAAAATGGCTGATGCATAAACAACACTCCCTTCACTCAAACGATGGCAAACAGGAAGCGGAGGTAAAGAGGCGAGATTTGCACCCGAGGAAAACATGTAATTTCTGAGAGCGAACAACGATGATTATGATTCAGAAAAGTGAAGACTGTCATTGCATTGCTGAATCAGGAGGGTAATTAATTAGTTGGCGCGTCAAATTGTGTGACAGCTGCTTGGATTGGCTCGTCTATCTTCTCAATTGGTTTTGTTTATTGTGTTTCACCTCCATTATGTCCTCTCTTTTCTGCAACTGGTTTATTTTTTGTTAGATTTATCCAGAAAGGATAAAAAAGATCAAAACTTGTAACAAAAATCCTACTTTTTAAAATAAATTTTTATTTAAAAGATGTAGATGCCATCCATCTTAACATGCAAATATAAAAAACAGATAAAAATATGACTTTGAGATGATATCCACGTGTCATAATTTGGTAAGTTGTTGTGAGGATCCAACATGCAGCAGGATGCTGGTTGATCACATCAACACAAAGGAGTTTCCATTACAATTTCATTACGGCCAGAAAAAGAACAAAAAAAACTACCTCATCTAAGCATCAAAACTTTTTTCTACAAGTAGAATGTTTCCAATATGCGAATTTATGTTTCAAATATCAAATTGTGCAATCATATGGTCGATGGGAATGCAGATAGTGACAAAGGTAAGAACATAAACACACACTGCAGCAGTGGAGGAGATAACGAACAGCTGGAGCCAATTACAGGTGGAGCTCACCCAGAACACAAAGCATCTCAAATTCTGCTTGGAAAATTATTTTAAACTGTTTGGCACTGAAACTGGACAACGTGAAACGGGAAAACCAAGTCCAACTCAATATTTTAGTTCAAGCAAAATCTGGAAAGGATATAAATCCAATTTCTAACCTACATTTATCAGTAAAATGAGGACAATTACTGACCAGGCTGATTTTTGTTCTCCAACCACAGATGCTCCTTGCCAGTCTTCAGGACACTAAGTTGGAGAGCTGCTCCAAGACATCAGGAGGATTATTTCCTGGCATTTAACAAACTGGCACTTCATGCTTTTCAGCCTCCAGTCGGAGCCGCTTGACGGCGGTGCATTGATGGACAGCCCAGTAATCAATAAGTGCTCTAAAGTGCTCGTTGTGACTGACAGCAGACTTTAACTTCACTTCAAGTAGTTAAGCTCAAAGATCGGTGGCGTTAATGCAGATTTGAAGTGTAACAGCTGAGCTGGAACCACTCCGACGGACAGAAAAGAACCAAATGAGGAAAAAGAAGTTTCAAGTTTTGGTGTAAAAGTGAACTTGTGACTTAACGTAGCTGCACAAAATAGGTTGAAATTTGTTTGTAGTTTTTCAATCAGGCACTCAAACGCAGGCAGCTTTTACACCTTATCATGTTTTATCACTTAAAACCATAAAATGAGACTTAAATTTCACGACACGCCCTTTTTTTTTAATCCACTAAGCTCTTTTGATGTTTTTTCTGGATCTATTGAACTAAAACTTTAGTTTTTTTGAAAAAAAAAAAAAAAAAAGCTGTAATACTGACTGAACTGCTGATGCTGTGACCTTGGTGCTTATTGGAAACATTTTTTCAAAATTAAAAGTAAAACCTTGGGCGGCCTGGAGAGCCTGGCGGTCGTCCTCTTCATGACCGCCAGCTTTCCGTCTGTTTGAGACATTTCCCAGCGCTTTGAGAAATCTTCCACAAACCGGGTTGCATTATTTATTGTCAATGTTTTTGATTGTTTATTCAATGTTGCATGACTCTGAGTTTTTGTGTTTTAATGATGTAAAGCACTTTGAAATGCCTTGCTGCTGAAATGTGCTGTACAAATAAAATTTGATTAGATTTTGATTTAAACATTTTTTGAAAACAACAAGACAAAAGAAGTGTCCAGTCTTCTCTCGACTCATTTTCCAATAAAACTGAAAATAATTCTTACAAACAGCTCATACTTTTCAATAAAAGTTTAGAATTTACCCGTTGAATTGATCATAAAACCGCAGCTTTTTTCTCTTACAAAGAGCCCACAAGAAACAGAACCGATAAATAATATCCACAAAATAAATATCTTAAAAGTGTTCTTGTTTTTCAGATAAAGTTTTGACTTGTGGAGATTATTTTGTAGCTTATTATGGAGATAATATAAATAGATTTTAACCTTCTTGGCTGGTAAATTATTGTGAAAATGTGATTATATATATCAAACAAATCCATTCATTTTGTTGAGCTTTTTATTCCTCATGAATCAACTTATTTCCAGAGTCAAATCTCAGATTTTCTTTTCCGTTTTAGCGAAGGTTTGAACGTCTTTATTGGTTCCAAGCCGGTGAACATGTTGCTTTATCTATAGTGTCGATGAACATTGAAGACATCACTTTATCCTGGATGGAAAAGATCAAAATCTACAAGTTGTGAACAAAAACAAAGCTGCTGTCAGAGTTTAAAACACCTGATCAGATGAAACGGCGGCCTCAACAATTCTGACGCCATAAAAGAAAAGTACATCAGCACTTCCTTTTACATATGCACATATCCGATGCATTTCCCATTTACATGATAGTGCACGAGATGACTCTTTGTTCACCGTCTCCCTTAATTTAGCAAAAAGAGAGTCCATTAAAACTGTGATTTTCTGTAACTAATTGCGGTGCACTCAAGCCGGCCTTTGAGGCCGTCCTGTTCATCAACATAACACAGGAGCGTTTGCAGCACATGATCCGTCCACGGCCAATGAGGCGACTGCTCTCGGCACCAACATGCACACTCTTATATGAGTAATGAACATTTTGTGTGCCTAAGCAGTGAGTCATGTGCTGCAGATGTATTGTGAATAGGATATGGTGGGTGAATTCGCTGCGTTTTTGGCTCCGGTCTTCAGGTTTCCGAACGCGAGCAGACAGGTCTTTTTGTCGTGTTTATAACATTCGGCGTCACCCTTCCTGGAGCTGCTCTGGCGCTGTGAAAACACGTCAAAACGCGTCAAACATCTGTGACAAGATGAGAACAACCTGTACTTTGTGCATTATTTCATTCCTCATTTTTCCTGCTTCACATCCAAACTGTCTTCATTTCAGACGACTGCTGTCTTAGATTTTGCAGGTACATTGTTAAATTGAACTAGAGCAGACTTGCAAAACCTAAACAACTTCCACTTGATGCATTTTGTTTTTTGACTGCTGACACATAATGGCACAAATCACTTAAATCTGAATGCATACGAATGTGTATTTCAGATCACACTCGTTAGAATGAAACAGAAATGTCCTCCAGATGAGCTCCGGCTGAGAGATTATTAGTTCAGGTGTTTGAAACTGTGAAAGGGGAATATTATGGCTCTGTGCTCAGGAAGGCAAAGCCTGGGGTCATCACAGAGCTCAATGAAAAAGTTATCTGTTCATTGTGAGCCTAACAAGTTTTTTGCATAAGTTAATGGAAGTTGAAGTTCAAAAACGAGAACATAATGTTACAGCTGTTCAGAAAACATGAATCAGGAACTGATTAGTGGCTTTTATCTGTGTACATGTTGAAACATAGTGGTGACAGCATCATGCTATGGGGACCTATCTGCTGTACAGTGGTCTGGCCCAGTGGCGCTTACAGAGGGAAACAACAGCACTAAGTTCTTCCCCAGTAGATGTCAGTAAAACATTCTGATTAATTTTTTCACAATAATCTCGATTTGAGCAGTTTTTAAAATAATGAAAGTAGGCGTGAATAAAAGAAAAAAATATACATATCTGACTTTGTCACAGCTTAATTAATTAAAAGCAACGTGTTTAATCAAACCAGAGGGAACAATATCCACTATGGGACAGAATTGGTTCATTTTAACGGCGCGCCGTCTCTACTTCCTTAACATATATATGACAATAACCGACAGTCTTGGAAATGCCTCCTCACTTCTCCCCTCTTTTCCCTTGCGCTCTCTCTCTCTCTGCCTCCAACACCCCCGCCCCCCTCCTCTCTCCTGTGCAGCCGACGCGCTTCTCGTCTCCAGAAGCTCGTCTCCACAATCATGTCCTCAGACATGCAGCCACGGTGGCATGAAGCGACCCGAAAGGCGCCATCGGGACGGCATACGCGCGGGTAAGCTTCGATCTATTCCCCCCTCACTCATGTGCAACAGCCGACCTGCATCCTGGCGCATCCAGTAATTGGTTCATCTAAAAGCTCCAAATTGAGCGCTTTTTTTTTCTTTTTTTTTCTGACAGACAGCGTGGATCATGTCTGCAGGAGGATCTGAGCGTTGAAGCTCAGACTTTCTAGATGCTGACCGCCACATTTCTCAAATAGTTTAATTAGCATCCATGGTGACAATGTCGTGAAGAAATCTCGCAGAATTTCATAAAGTTGTTCTCCGTTTCTCGGTTGTAACTTACCTGGGGGAAAAACACAATGGTGTGCATGTTTACGATATTTTACTGATGAGATGATCAGGAAAAAACGCGGCTGTTTGTTTAGCGGTGATGTCAGGGAAATATTGGATGCCTGATCCTCAGCTGCCATACGGAGCTTCTTCGGGACTCCAGTGATGGACGTGGTGCATTTTGTGAATCTGTGCAAATGCGAATTTTCTCAATGGATTTCTCTGCGCCAAATTTGCGCGCGATCCCAAACACTGATTGTCTGAAACAGGCTGAAACATCAGCGTGTCCGGGTATTCCCAACCAGTCTGCTGAACTTCTTTTACAAGATGTTTCCTTTGCTTATTTTGTTTTTTGCGCTCTCGATGCGCTCTGGATTCACGCGCGCTCTCGCATGTAACAAACTTATTGTATTTGTTCACATTTTGGTGTCCGTCGTGTCATTAAACCTACATCCATTCATGTACAGCAGCCGAACACACCCCAAAAAAAAAAAAAAAAAAAAAATATATATATATATATATATATATATATATATATATATAAGAGACGCGCACGCATTTTAGTTTCCGATTAAATCCGCCAAATGTTCGGCAGTGATGGTAAATTTAGTAGTAAGAGTCGTGTTAAGGTCATGTTTGTTTGTTTTTTTTAAAGATGGGATAAATAGAGAAGATTTGCGTCGCAGCCGCGCCATATGTGCGTAAAACGGCGCAACAGACTGGATTTGGAACAACACGACTTTCACATTCGGTTACATTTGTTTATCATAAATATAATTTCTTATGCTCGGATTTTTAAAGCCATGCACTTGAAATAGATACATGTAGTTTTTTTTTTCTTCAATGAATCTAATAGGGAGCAATATTCATTTTCACTTAGACGTATGTTTTCTTTTGGCTCCACCGCGTTTCACTTCTTTTCTAACCAAAACATCAACTCAGAGCAGAAATGATGGTTTCTGGCAGAAGGGGGCAGATTTTTCGTTTTCAGTGGATCATCAGCGCGGTGGGGCGGCTGGTGATGGCTGAGGTAGGTTTTAGAGTCTGACCATTTTATTTCCCTGAGATGCTAAAAGAAAATTGAATTTGCATGATTCAGTGGCTTGTACGGAATTGATGACTCTTGCTGCTGTATGGATGGATGGATGTGGAGAGGAAATCATTTCTGCTTCTGCTGATAAAAATGACAATTATTCTGTTATTCCAACAGCTACTCGGGCATCTGACAAAATGTAAATTTGAGGGATTCGAGGTTGTAATGCTTTGCTTAGAAGAGCTGTACAGCAGAAGCAACACAGTGTGCTCACTTTGACCCAGTGCTGTGTGTTTAAATGAGCTCTCTGGCTTGACTTTGAGTTCCCAGCTGTAATTGGACTTGTTTGAAGAGAGGGCTGGTGTCGCCTGGGTGTCTTACGGATGGCATGTGGGAAGGTCGGTCCTGAGTTTCAGCTCTGCATTTTCATGAAGGGAATGATAAGACATTTGTGATTGGAATACAAATTTTCTGCTTTTAAGCTGCACTTTATAATCAGGAAATCCAAGCTGCTGCCATTTGGAACTATGGTTCTAAAGTTGGGGTTGGGGGGCCAATTATGGGTCATGAATCAACAAGTTTGGGGTCCTAGGAGCCTCCTCAGAATTTGTACCAAACACAAATGTGAGGTGACAAACAGTGTTTATGTTTCTACAAAAGTAAAAAAAAAAAAAAATCTACACTTAGCTAAATGCATTCTAAAAAAAACACTGAAAGTGTTTCAACAATTCATAGTAAAGCTCAGAATGATCAACTTCAGGTATTTTTGTGTTTGAACTAGAGGTTCACAAGAAACCATAGAAAATCTGACACTTACTACTTTATGTTGCAAATAAAGTTTTAATGTGATTTATTTATCAGTTTCTGAGTAATGGTATGGCGAGAATGTAAATGTACTTTTCTGTAATATTTGGTTAATACTCAAATTGTCAGCCATAATTTTTAATTTCCTAAACTTATCCACTTACTTTACACAACTTACATTTGTAACCAAACTGACTTCATATTGCAGCTTCAAAGCCTACTAGCCTAGCGAGGATTAGCTTTAGGAGCTAGCATCAAGGGACTCGTTATGGTTGCTGCCCTTCATAAACTAAGTTCCTGTATTTACAATAAAATAGATTTGTAATCATCTATAGCTGAAAGACATTGGGAACCTAAAATATATATTCTTTTACGTTTAACATTCCTAACTGCAAAATTTTTTTTGTTTTTAGAAATGTCTTCATCCTTCTTTTTTTTAAAAAAAGACCCAAAAATGTTGATGTAGCTGTACCAGGAAATTTGATCATTCCCAATCAACGTTTAACCTCAGACATTGGTCGATATCTTTGGGTGTTTTGGATCTTTTCTGGGTTGGGTTAGAGGTAGGGCTTTCACATCATGAACTAAAGTGCTTCTTGGCTGTGGTCTATTGCTTCTGTAAAGCCTTTGCTAAACTCCAACCCACGTCTCAGCACTGCATTTCATCTCTGCAGCTTTCTCTCTGTGCATCTTCCAAGACGCACCCTGGACTTTCTGCTGTCTATTTTCACTTATCGCCCTGTCTTCCACGCTGATGGTGATGGATTAGGTTTGCTTGCTGCGTGACTGTAGAGCTGTTTGATTAGTTTTCTGTCTTTGTTGTTACACACTTTGTAAACCTGCTCAGGTTTTCCAAGGACAGCTGTGTGATTTGCCCCAATTCAAACCTCCTCCACTGACTCAACTCATATCACTAAACAGACGATATACTCTGAAGAGAACCGTGTTAAAAATACATTGGTCATCATAGATTAAAGTAAGGTGACGATTGGTCGTCATCTGCCTGTTTATGAGCCTAAATGTGGAGCACAGTGCCCCCTGTTGGCAGGTTTGAGTTCAGTTTTACATAGTTCTTATATGAAGACGTCAGCCATGATTGTGCTTCATAATAGCCAAACGTGTAAAGAGTGCAAATTACTTGCTTTCTTGGCAACATTCACATGGAATACAGAGAAAAGAGACAGAAGGAGGAGGCTCATGCCAGAGCTGCTACTTACCATGACTGCACATTGAACACATATTTCTAAATCTGTGTTTTTGGCAGCTGTGGAATCAGTGTTAGAGACCAGGTTGCGTTTTTTGCAAAAGTTAAATTTAGACGTTATTCCATGGACACGAGCGTCCCGGTTGTGCTCGGTGCACATTAGCGAATCTTTGTATCTGGCACTCACAGAAAGGAATGTCTAATTATCACGCTTTCAACCACAGCAGGCTCCTGTATTCGCAACCGAGCTCCTGCTCTAATCGCTGTCTTTTCCTGTCAGTACACCCCTGTTTTTTTTTTTGTTTTTTTTACGTAATTAAAATTTTATTTTTGCCTGGTGTGGATGAGTTGGGGGGGCTCTGTTCGCTGTCGACTGGGTGTTGAATGAAGCTTCACTTTGGCAGAAGCAGAAGAATGGCTTGACTAATGTATGGAAATCCAAAGGGAGAGATGAAAGGAGATTCTGTGAAGTGGTTTACGTAACAGTAAACATACCATTCACATATATGTGGAGAACTGGATGAGCACGATGAATGTCTATCTACAGTTCAACTCGTTTGCATGCAGTCATTAAGACCATAAACGTCATGTGCCTTTGAGCTCTTATGATGCATTTTTTTTCTTTTTTTTTGAGGAGAGGATTTATGATCAAACACGTTTAATGAATTCCACAAAAAATTCTAAAAGAAATAAATAGATGCAGAAGACCTCACAGAATGAGGTGCGTAAAGCTCAGATAGATTAGTTTCCAATTATTATTTGGTTAAATGCCCCTTTAAAAAGTGTACCTAGATCACATAACCATTATATTTGAGATCAAGAGTTTCTAAAGACTTAATGTTCCCTTTATTTTTTTTTCAAAAGCAATCATTGTTCTGTTGGAGAGTCCAGTTTTGTCCAAGTTCCAGCTGGAGAGCGGTAGATTTGAGGTAAAGTTGATAAAATAGCCACCAATCCTTTTATCTTCATTATTTCACCTAGTTTTTGTAGTTATCAAGTATCACTGGCAGCAAAACAGTCCCACAGAATGATGCTGCCACCACCATGCTTGACTAGATGTCAACAGGTGTGAACTGCCTTCTATTGACTTCTTTATACATTACATTCTCGTAATTTTCACTTGACTTTGTCTGATTATCCAGAAGACTTTTAGCCTGTCTCTATATAAGTAACTGCAAATTCCACCTTAAATGTGTTGATTCTCTTGAACAGGGACTTTTTGTTGGTCTCTCATGTTAAACTCGCTTCGTGATGGCTAACGGCACTAGAGTTTCAGCTTCTTTGGATTATTCCAAACAAACAAACAAACAAAAAAAAAACATAAATAACTGGATCTGGAGCAGAAAAAGCACAACTACGATTGTTTAAGTACGATAAGTTTATGTTTGAGGTGCAAGTTGCTGAAGGGTATTCGACCGGCTGTGTATTTTTGAGCATATTGGCTGTGCTCCAGTCTACTTGACTCTGTGAAAAAAGTAATGGCTCGCTAAAAGTTTTAGGTGATTATGCCAAGTTGGTTGCAACAACTGCCTCAAAGATGAAGGGTGTTTTAAATCATCGTGGAAGTTTCACCGATTCTTCTTCAAAAAATAATTGTTTTAGTTCACATTTTCTGCTGATCCAGTTATTACATCAAGCATTCCAGGTCATGAACAGCAAAGTGCTCTCAAATCTTAACATTATCTCCATCATTTGATTGGGGGCACGATATTTTTTTTTGGAATTACAGTGTTAGCTTTGCACCAGATGTGACAAGGCACAGATCTGCCAAAAGGTCCCAATTTTGTCTCACCAGTCCACATACTTTCCAGAAAGTCTGGGGTTCCATCAGTAGGTCTTTGGCAAATCTTGAGACATGTCTTTTTGTTTGTTTTATCCATTTTTGTTTTTGGTAAGCAGTTGTTTTTGCGCCCCATTGTTGTCATTCTGTTTCTTATTGTTGAATCATAAACACTGAGTTTAACTGGAGCAAACGAAGCCTGCAGTGCTGTGGATGCTGTTCTGGATTCCTTTTATGGCCTTCTGGGTGAGTCCAGTCATTTTGACTCGCCTGTCACTCTTGGACTGGTTCGCCACCGTTCCATTAGTTTTTCTGTTTGTGGATAGCGGCTCACGTTGCGTTTCACTGCAGTTCCAAAATTACTTTGTTGCAGTTTTTTTTTTTGACAGATATACAGTATGTCAAAAACTTTGTGTTTATTTATTAATTTCTTTTGAAGTTTTTATGCATTTCATTTTGAGATCATTTGCCAGTAAAGTTTACGTCAGTTCTTGTTGCTATAGGTCATTTATTTTAACATTTCTTCAGTGATTTCAGACATTTAAGTGCCAAATCGTTTTCATATCGTTTTCATATTCAGTTACACTGTCTGCTGTTATCCGTGTAAAATAAATGTCAAATACATAATTTCAAAGCAGCAATTTAATATGTTTCAATGATAAACTTACAACCAGAACTGCAAATGGTTTTTTAACCCTAAATATCGACACGGTGCAATTTCCTCACTTCAAAGCATTCAGATTTCCGTATGCTGAGGCCGTTTCTTCCAGCTAGAAGGACAAGTGGCCACTATACCCTTTGCTATCCTCCTTATCAGACGCTGAATGGCTGCAGAGCTATGCTATACGAGGTGCCGCTAAACCACTGCATGAAGTGGCATTGATTGGAAAGGATGGGAGGAGTGCGATTCCTCCTTAAGGTCATTGTCCTGTAGATAGAGAGCGTTAGATGAAACAAACCCAAGTAATTGCATTTGGAACAAAGGACTTGGGATTGGAGGAATAAGAAGTACTTAAGCACTCAGTCAGCATATTTCACCAACATATGAATGGTTTCAGTGGCATAAGAATTGCTCATAAAATCTGACGGAGTTTGGTGTCAGGATGAGCTCATGGGAAAAATCATGAAGCTCACATTTAAAATGCGACATGTGGAGACGGGTTTGGAAAATGGTGCTTAAGATATGATTCACCATCTGCCTGTGAATGAATTTACAGGTAAGGAACTGGATCTGTGACTAAACTGGCATTCATGGCTCTGGAACCAGTTCAGACGTCGTAAATCGATACTTTGTCACCAATTTAGATACTGACTCCACATGAGAGCAACAGCAGCAAGTTGTAAACCAAATGGCCCATTTTAACCCTTAATGTTTCACTTTCAGAATATGCTTGCAAGAAGGAGACCATATGAACACACTGAATACATTTAGAGGTAGTAATTCTGTCCAACATGTACATTCAGATTCGATAATAAAACTTAACTTCAAGTAAATTACATTCTACAGGAATACTTACTTTAAACTGTATTATCTCCAATTCCTGAGTCAGTTTCTTCCTATGGTGTCTAAAGAATCCATCAAGCCCACGTTCACATTTATGGATCACTGTGGATAAGAATATTAGTGGATATTTCACTTGTTCTGGCACATTTTTTATTTGATTTTATCACCATCTGCAGATTAAATCAGTTCCAGCTCCGTTTTGTTTCAGTAAGGCTACAGAAAAGACCGACGTTGCCACTGTGATTTCACTAATTCTCATACGGTGGACCCGAATGCAGACAGAATGTTGAGTAGATCGTGATATATTCAAATAAAAAATGATCATGTACAAGAACTTACATACAGCCTGGGTACAAGGAGGAAAATGACAAACAGGAGGAGCCAGGAAAGAGTAAAAGCAGAAGAGGTGTAAAAATACAACAGACTGAAAGACAAGGGCTGATTAGCTAATGGATTGCAGGTGTGGAGGGAGAGCAGGAAGCAGAAAGAGAGAGAATGACTCTTAGTTGAACAATGTACCGACTTTTGTTGAGACTTACACTGAAAGGAAATTTGATAAGGCTTCAAAATAGGCAGTTTGCTTAGAAATAACTCCAAAACAATAATCTACCTCAGGTTTCCCCCAGAAAACTTGCTAAGCCCGGTGCTAGGGCAGTTATTCATCCAGCTGCCCGCCATGTTTTTGAGTTAAAAAATGTTTAAACCTGACAGGAAATTTGAAAATATCACTTGCTCTTTTGATAGTTATGCATTATTAGAAGTGTTTAATGTCTAAACACCAACTATAAAGTCTTAAAAAGGCAATAATTAAAAAATAAAATTATAAATTAACAATGCCAAGCCTGGTGGGGGCACAAGTAAAGCCTGGTGGCCCGCCAGGCTTATAATACACCGAGGGAAACCCTGCTTGTTCTTTGTGTTGATCTACCCCTAATAACATTAAAGTTTGTGGAGGTAACTTGAAAAATCCTAAAAGATTCAAGGAAAATTTCTACTTCTGCAAATCACTGTATACAACTAACAGTGAATATCGTCAGAAAACACTGGACATCAGAATGTCAGTCTCATTCAGCAGCATTTCGTAACGCAGCTGCTCCACTACCAATTCCTGCCAAGTCCATTCACCTTTGCAATAAAACTAATTTCCCACATATTGGGATTGTTTCCTGGTGGCAGCCTGCAATTTCAATGAAAAGGGAAATCAACTGTCTCACAATGCAACTTTGTGTTCATTCGATGTCCCATGTGCCTGGATTGTCTTAAATATTGCATTGAGCTGAAAGGATCTGCATTATCATGTTCTGTGGGATCATTACCACCACTTAATCCATTAACATGATCCATCAGTTAGAAACACCGTCTACTTCCGCACCATTGTTTAACTAGCCTGGCAGAAAGAGAAAACAATCACAATATTCATGTCTTTAAAAAAAGAAAGTACATGCTTCAGAATGTATATGTTGTCAATGAATGATAAATAAAAATAGAAATTATTTTTATATTGTCTTCTATGTACAAATGTTTACAAATGTAAAGGTTTAGAGTAAAGAGGAATTTACATCATCCATTAATGCTTCATAAAACAACTCAGACAAACTGTTTATGTTTCAAGAGTGGGTTTATAAATGCATGCATATCTATTTAAACAAATCAGGGTTGCGATATTTTCAGTCAACTGTTCACATTTCAAATGGGTGCAGTATAGATTTTTGAAGTTATAAATTAAAACATTTAATATGAAACAAAACCATATTGGTGTGTGTATGTGTATAAAAAAATGCAGACTTGGCAATGGTTCAAAGAAGCATTCATATCAATGATTACTTCATGGCTCTGCTGTGATTTTGAATTGCAGGACATGGATTGATGATTCTTTAGCGGTGCCTCTTAGACGAGAACGTAAAAATGTCCCAGAGCTTCAAAACATTCTAATCTATTTGTCCTTATTATTTGCATCGCAGAGAGGGGTTTTCTTTTTGATCAAACTTGATGCAGATCGTCCTTGGTGGAGGAACTTTGCTGAACTGGATCGTCCTTTCTCTGCAGCATTTATTTCCTGCATCTGAACAGCATCGAAGCAGCAGCAGAGGCAGAGGATTCACGGCAACGTTCTAAAGATCTCTGGAGGTTCCTCCAAATCTGACGCACGCTCCAAAAACCTCAGGTGTTCCTCAGTCTTGCCGCTCATCTGGCATTAATGTCGGGCCTCCATTCCCAGTTCCCAATTACTCGGAGCCTCGGTGCCAGAAAATTCCAGACGGCCACTCCAGTTTTTGGCTGGACTGTTATCATTTGTTCCACGAAGCATTCAGATTTCAGTAGACCAATCTGCTGTCACCTGCTCTTGACAGGGAGAAGCGATTACAAATTGCCAGAGAGCCAAATACCTCCACGACAGAACATTCAAAGACATCTTGGACCAAAATAACAACACAGAGAATTCAAACTGCATTCTCACAAAAAGCTTTTGTTTTAACAGTTTGGTAACGAGGACACAAACTCAAGAAAGGATTGGGTTAAGATTGGGATGTTCTGTTTAAATCTGAACAACAGAAACCCCAACTCTTGTACCGTAAATGGCACAAACACGACAGAGCGCCTTCATATCTCAGTGGGCCGCTGCAGATGCTGCGTGCGTGGGCGTTTTTGAAGTAGCCCTGTGTGACTTTTGCTTCTTGTTGGCCTGGAGCACTAACAAGCAATTAGCCAACAGGGAGAGAGATCGGTATTTCAGGGGACGAAAGGCAACCGTAAAAAGACTTTGGTTGCTTTTCGTTTCGATTTGACAGAAGCTTTGGAGTTGATCTTGGAAGCAAGAAATGACACCAGATACAAAAGATGATTGAGGAAGAAAAAGCAGGCAGCAGGGATTCTTGTTGCACACAACTTTCGATTTTCGATGATTTACCACAGATCGCCTGACAGTATTTATGACACGTTGCAATTAAACCAACATCAATCAACTTACTTTTAAGTGGAAGCCAATGAAGTGATTTCTTTTGAAAAGGCAATAACAGTCAAACTGCCTTCCTGGAGGTGTTGCTGTTGTAATTACTGGCCTGGCAGAAGCTGATAAACAGGAATGATCACTTTATGTTTTTAACGCATTTTTAGGTTCTCATCTCTCTATTTCTTTCTTTCTTTCACACTGGGAATTTAAGTGTCTCTTGGATAAATTGTCATGAATTTCTGTAGGAATGTATGTTAAGGTTTAATCAAGCATCTTATTGATTATTTAAACACTAAAAAGGGGAGTAGTAAAAGTAGTTAGTGGTCAGGTTGCAATAAGGCTGGGGATTTTTGGTTAGTCTCTGACACAATACTAGATCACACTCAAGAAGATGCTATTATAACAGCTGAACTTGATTTAAGGTTGAACGGATTCTCTTTAATTTAAATAATTGTGTTACAAGAAGACCGAAGCATTAGCTTAATGGTGTGCACATTTATGGAATTAGGTCATTTTAAGTTGAGCCATCTTGCTCCAACAGATTTGTTTTTCATTTCAATAGTACAAGATATACAGCAGGCCACAGTAAAGGTGTAAAAACTCTAAAACAATTCATCTTTTGACCAAAACCTGGCCTTTGACTAGGCCGCGCACACTTTTTATATCCAATACAACTTGTTTCTCGCTGCTTTAGATGATCATTAATCCAAAAAAAGTTTGTCTTTTTGAAGTTCAAAATAAGTGTGAGGAAGAAAAAGAAAAAAAAGCACACAGTTGAAATTTTTCCAGGCACAGTGTGAAACGGTTATGCTTTTCACATCTCCAGTGAAACAATGGAGCATGTGTGATATCAAAGCTGAATTAGAGCTGCTGCCTACAAGGCAGATGACTTGACACAAAGCTTAGTACTGTGTACACACACATCAGATTAGCTCCCGCTCTGACCTTGGTTACTGCGGATAAAATCAAACCGCCAAACATTCCTGTCACCTTGAGACATTGGTGCATAATCTAAGACATCTGGTGGAGGAGAGCCGGGGTTAACACTAATTAGTCCAGCAACAATCACTGTCACTGTTATTGCAAACTGTGTCGGCTCTTCTTTTGCAAATCAAGGGCCTGTTTATGCCCCAGGTGTAACCGAGTTCACCCAGTGTTTGTTTAATGGCCTCAGGTTTTATAAACTATAGTTACCTTTTATGTGGTTGGCCGGTTTAATTCATTGACTCTGTCAGAACTGTCCTTTTAAAGTAAACTTGAGACAAAATCCAGATAATGGTAGTAAATACCACTGACTTGTTTGATGGCATTTGGTGGAAGTCTGCCTTTTTTCCCCTTATTTGAGGTTCCCTAGGGACAGTTGTAGAAATCACTGGAATAGGAGGATGCAGAGTGTTATTTAATAATGCACAGGAAATAGGGTCAAGCAACGCTTCCACTGCATTGTTTACAAGACAAAACATAGCCTGAGATTACTTGCACACTTGCTAAGGCAATGCGACTAAGTCATCAGAGACCTGCATGTCTCACCTCCCCTCAGGCTTCACTGTAAGAAGTCTGTAGACACTGTACTCAATCCGAAGCTTTGTACATAGACGTTGTTTAGTCTGACATTCTCAAAGACAATCCCTGAAGGTCTGTGGAACTCTTTCCAGGTGAATGATTTGACATTTAGAAGAAATGCCAGCAAGAAAGGAAAGTGTGCACTTTTTTTTTTATACATTGTCTGAGCCTGGACTTGCCTGTGAGCTGTTGAACTTGTAGGGTTTCTATTTGCATTCTGCTGCGGACATACGCTTAGGTTTGGTGCATTTTACGAGCTCTTTTTGAACCCCTTTGGCCCTCTGTTCACCGTGTCAGAGCGAGAAATGCTTTTATTTGACTTGACAGGAACAGGCCTCCTGACAGAGTCCAGAGACTGAGCTGTATCAGTGGAACACAAACAGACTGTGGGATGGAATCACTGTGTGAGGCACCCGCCTCCCCTGCGTTCACACTCTCTGATGGCCTCCTCTGACAGCCTTCTCACAAACAAAGCAAAGCAGAAACGAGTCTGATCATACGAAACATATCAAAGGTTGGGAAACAAAACAGTTTCCCACTTTTTTTTTTTTTCTGTACCCGAAATAGAGAGCTTTGATTGTCATTGTAC